CGTGTCATGCTCAGTGAGAGGGAGAAGAACCGACAGAGGAAGCTGAATTCGCAGACAGGCCGCGAGTGGGACGCAGAGAAGTCACTGGAGTCCTTCTCTGAACATAGCCGAGGGGGCTCTGCATATCGGAGAGGAGCCCACGGTAGTATACCAAATAATATGCGTGCCATGACACCTCCCACGCCAGCCGCAGACTATGATAACCAGCCCAGCCCATCGTTCGGAGACCGAGGACGAGGACGGGGTAGCCGAGGGGGACGAGGCCAAGGGCGAAGAGGTGCCGGCAGAGGCCGATTACCAGGCGATATAAATACCGAAATATCCCATCCCGGGCATCAAACAAAGGTTCCTGAATCAGACGAATTCCCTGCTTTGCCTGGCACAGAGAAGCAGTGCGATAGCAAACCGGAGAAGCCCAGCGCATCTACGTGGGACAGAGCTCCCGATATCCTTTCGATGAAGGAGTCCTCGGGGACATGGGCCGACCAAGTAGAGATCAGCGAGGAGCTAGAAAGAGGCGCTACGAAACAGGTCTAAAGTGCTTTTCGTCCACTCTAGTGTTTATTACTTACGCCCGTGAAGACTTATAGGGTTCGAGTTTCCTCCACGAGAGGATAAAAAGGGAGGTTCAGGTACAGTGCTGTTGCATGGCTATTCGGGCGGTTTGGTAGAAGTGCGTACAAGTATGTTATATTACTTACTATTGGATAATCCTTGGACCTATGTCCTATACCAAACTTTCATGTCTCCAAGTAGGAATAGCAGGCACCAACCAGTAAGAGTTGAAAATACAAAGCATTAATACATAGGTATGCTAACGAAGAGTAAGTCTGCTCATGGCGTGTGTGTATCTATATACTTATTTATAGTTACTTTTTTATCAGGTTCAGCTTTTGAACAAACCAATTATTAGGCTTATTTAACCGTTTGGCTAAATATTCAGCGGGCTCCGAGTTAATCAAAGTCTCCCAAACGTCAACCGGCTAATGAGTTAGCTACTGTCAACCTAGCCAATAATAAGCTTGGTTATCTAACTACCTAAGTTATTGCACGGAGTCAGCTTCATGATTTAGGTTGCGGCTCTGTCTAGCTAAGTTAACTTGAGCTTGTAGTTAACTAACAGGTGTCAGTTAACTAGTTATATAAATAACTAAACCACAAAGTCACAAAAGCTATCTTTTTACTTCACGGTCAATTACACTAAGGTTATCAATTCACAAAGTTATTGGTTTTATCTATGTCTTGGAACATCCCCGTCATTGGCCTGCTTAAGTAGTTAGTTAGCTAATTCTCAATCGGAGCTGAACTAGTCGCGGGGCAGAGTAGGACGGAGTACAGGCGAGACTTACTTTCTTCCTACCACAAACAACTCAACTTGACTTTGGGCTCAGGCACTGGGTAGTTAAGTATCTAGCTATCTATCTATTTGACTAGTACTTACTACTTGGGCTCAAAAACAAAACCATGGCAACCTTGGAGACTGTCCCGGAGGAAATTTTCCTTTCCATTTTCGACTGTCTCGACCATTCATACAAGCCAGACTACTTGCGATATTTGACTGTTTCCAGGCGCTGGCAGCGTGCTGTCGAGCGCTTCTTTTTTGAGGACTTGAGTATTGACAGTGCCCAGCTGTCAAATTTTGCGGCTCTTTTCCAGGGGAAGGGGGCGCATCGGAAGGCTCTCGTCAAGCAGCTTTCTTATCATGCTGTACTGCCCCCCTACGATGGAGACGACTGTCATCAACACGAAGAACTGAACAACCAAGTCTTCTCAGCAGCCATCCTTGAGTTATTCCAAATTCTTGAGACTTTCAGCGAAGATGAGGCTGTCAAGGCAAACTTCGGAAGGGGGCGTGGGATTGTGTTATATCTAGAACCCCCGGTATCTCCAAACGACAAAAATATCCCCCCCCCGGACAAAGAGTACCGGCTTCATGCAGTTTTTATCCGGCTTCTAAACCCCAAGCAGTTGCCTACCCTAGCTTGTGTATCGGACCTTATTGTCGGCTGCATTGGGGGGAGACGCATCCTTGACCCGGCATCAGGTGTATATCTCGCAAGTATGATGAAAAATTTGAACTGTTGGAGGATGTCTTATAACGATTATTGGGAGAGTATCACGGATGAGACACTGATAAGAATCCGTCGTGGTGCATCCCCTCTCTTAATGTATTATATTATATACTCTGGCTGAAGATATAGCTAACTTACTTCTCACAGACTTCATCAAAGCACTGTCCAATCACAACCAGGCCGTGGCGAAGTTCGACCTCAGATCGCAGTCTTGCGATAGAATAGACGAATCAATCCCAGCTCCAAAGCATACCTCATCCCCCACAGCAATGGACCCGTTCAGTATCGCCATACACGAATTTATTCAACGAGCAAATGTTTCAGTAATAGACATTGAGGGAACCCATCCCATGTCACCAGAGATATTATGGCCATATAAGACTGTAAAAGATGTCCCAGTACCCCTATGGCCAAAATTGGAACATATTTTTCTTTATCCCGCTCACCACACACCTGACGGAGACTGGTACTTTTCTGGGGATCCAAAAATTGCGTCTCACTCTGAATTTAGTGGACCTGCTAATGGAAATGGCGTCAAAAATCTTGTGCGGCTTGCGGGCCAAACTGAGAATACCTTTCGGTCTGTTCTGGTTCCGGAAAGAATTGATCCCTTTCTCAAAGCGATTGCCCAAGTCGTCCGTCACGTACCTTCCCTCCGACGACTTGATGTATGGTTCGGGGACGAACAACTTTGTCCAAGATATGTAAAAGTGGATGATCTAAGGAGACGGTTTCGCATTTTCTATTTTGCCCCTGGCATGAAATCATGGTATGATGAAGAAAGCCCACGGAGTAGACCCAGAATAATATGCGATGTTGGGGGTTCGTGGCGTGCAAGCGAGGAAATTGAAGAGATGTGGATGGAAGCTATGGGCCCAAATGGATTAATCCACTATCATCATTGATTGAGGTATCCGTGTTAGTTACAAGATGTTTTAACTTGAGCTGTATTGGGATAGAATTAGACATGGGTAAAGCAATAAATGTTCAAAACCTGTTGACCTATAGCAGCCCCCGCCTTGCCCTCAGAAAGGATTTTTCCACACAGTTTTCTTCTTCATGTCCTCGTATGTCTTTTCCAAATCCTTGAGGTACTTAATCATGGTCTGGTATTTTTCTTTGTGAGCCTCGTGTTTTTTCTTCTTGTTATTAGCTTCCAGTTTTTGTTTAGCTGTCAGCGTCTTGCCCTTGTTCTTTTTTTCCTCTTCCTCTGCAGCCTTTATTTCAGCCTTGAGATCTTTCTCCAGGTTTGATCGAGTATCTGTAAAATCGCGGTACGTCTTCTTAAAATAGCCGTCAATCCGGTCAATACTGTCTTGGGTGTGTTTTTTGATCCATTCGTCCCACTTTTTCTGGAGGTTCCTGCTGTCATACTTCCGCTTAATCTGCTGATTTGAAGATATAAAATCCAGGCTGGCAGTGGCGGTATCGAGACTTTTGAGTATTCGCGAGATGCGGCCTACTTGCTTCTTCAGAACCTCCTGGACAGGGTCTGCAGCCATATATTTGTAGGCGGACATGAGATCCTTGAACTTGACAATAGCTTTTACTGTAGTTGATTTGCTGACCGACCCTGTTGGGAAATTTTCATCCATCAAAAGTTTGGACATGTCATCGAGAAATATCGTTGTGTTGGACCAGACCTAATGAAATTCTTAGTTAGGGGTAACTTATCAGGTGATGAAAACAACATACTCTCGCTTTAATACCATTAACAACGCTAGGAAGTAAAAAGAATTCATCCGCATAGTTGTCGGTTGTAGGGAACTGATCGGCAATCCATTGCGTTGCCTGCTTGGATGTTCCTCCGATACTAGGAATTGGATTGTTGTTTTTGTCGTCCCAGTAAGCGCCCATATACGTGCAAAAGTTTACCTTGGAAGTCCCTTTGTTCTTATACGGGTCAGGAAACGTAATACCCTCTTCGCCAGTTATGTTTTTGGTAAATATCTTGATGAGCTGGGTCTCAAGCACGTGTTCGGTCGCAAGACGTAGGGAGGCATCATTTTTTAACGGCTGGTAATCGGGCGTATATAGCGAGTTTGATCTCCTCTTGAAGTCAAAATCTCCACACTCCCGCGGCGTTTTTAGTGCATAGATAATATCCTTCGCCACATTCTTATTCTGAATCCCATGCGTCATTTAGTAACTAATAAGCGCAATATGACAAAAACCAATTTGTGCAGCTTACCTTTATAAGCGCGAGTGGCCTGGGATAGGCTGCCGTATAGGCAGTGATCCCACAGAACATGACCTTTTTCCCATTTTTCTCGCTAGGCGTGAGAGTTGGAGGGGGTTGCTGACCGGTTGAAGTGGGGGTTACGGCGGTTGAGGATGATTTTCTCGCCCTCTTCTCAAAGGTAGGAGATGCCCAGTCAAAGAAGCCAAGTCCCCTGATCGCAAGGTGTGCAATGCCTTCATGCTCATCTTCCTCTCCATTTTCTGCCTCAACAAAGCCCGGATCCCATGCTTGTACATCGGAGCATTCCGAGCACCCACCGGGCCCTTTCCCTGGCTTGCAAATGGCAGAGGTAGTTGAAGGTTCCTGAGTTTTTGTTGACGATGCCTGGGTGCTATTATGCTTGGTAGAGCTCGGTTTAGAAGAACCTCTCGTGGAAGATATACCGTGGTGATCCGTGGTAGTAGGCCCTGGCTTTGATGTGGACGGGGTTGTAGTGCTGTCCTTTTTTGACGTTGAACTGGAGTGGTTGGTTGTTGCTGAAGGCCGATGCGTCGTAGATGTGGATTTAGACTTGGATGTTGTCGTTGGTGCATCAGTAGTCTTTGTAGTTGGCTTGCCGTTAGCGGTTGAATTTGGCTTATCAGTGATTGTGGATTTTGGCTTTTCCTCTGTGGTTGTTGGCTTCTCCTTGGTAGTAGATTTTGGTTCCTCTTCGCCTTTTGACGTTGGCTTATTATTTGACTTGGATTCGTCATTGGGCTTTTTCGGGTTATTATTCTTTCCTGGTTTCTCTGGTCCTGGCTTCGGTCCTGGCCTTCCACCCTTACCGAATAGACTACCCAGCCCTCTACCCACCGATGAACCTATTCCCCGCCTGCGGTGATTTTGAGATTCGGTACAACCTTCCATCCTTTTGCATCCCAAACTGGTTCCGTACTCATCCGATGCTTGGGCCAATTCGGCGAAGACATGTTCTTCTGACGGTTTATCCCAGCCATTGCCGCAAATAGGGTTGGCCCAGCCGCCAAAGAATACCCCTGCATCCAGTCCGTTCTCAGCTACAGTTTTGGCAGCCCTAATGAAGGTCTCGAGCCTTTTGATGTGGCCGATCGGCAAGGCCACAAGTCCAGTGTCGAGAATGAGTTCGAATGACTCCACAAGGACACCGCATAAGATATTATCTAGGCGTGAAAGGCCCGTGACAAGGGTATCCAAGATGACCTTTCCAAGCCCATCGAGATCACATCTACACTCTCCAATCACGAATTCGTGGCCGCTATCATCTATATAAGAAAAGCCTTGTTCCTTTAGTTCTCGGAAAGAAACACCAAAGGAAAGACACTAGCAGACGAGTGAGCATATTTTCACACTAGCAGCAGGGACGGGGAACGTCGCTTGGAATTTCATACCGAGATATCGTTTAGCGTGCCCGACTTATGGGTTTCACAATACTTTCTGCAGGGGGCCAAGGTATTTTCCGAGTTCCAGAAACCACCATAGTTAAAACACCAGCCTTTTTCTGCAAAGGCTGCTATAGTCTGGGCATCGGACTGACGGGGTCTGCTGCTGTTCTCCGATTGAACCACCGGCAGGAGAAGGCTAAAAAGCCAAAGCAAGAAGACAAACTTCATAGCCGATAATAAAGAGGTATTAAAAAATGTGCTATCAAAATATTCGAATGTAAAGAGTGTATATTATCAAAACGAGCGTTGTAAAAGGTAAAGACTGTGGCAGCGCGGAAATCCAGGCAAGAGATCAAACGAGTGTGTCAAGCTAAGGAGTGTTAAGCCTCTGGCTGATTTCTACCATTATACTCAGCCATGGAGGCGGATGTCTATGGCCTTTAAGTAGACATGACCAGTTGGCGGAGTTGACGTGAGCATCCATGATCATGTAATGATAGAGGGCACAGAAGAAAAAGACACGGGTAGTGGTCTTTACTCTTCTCCAACTAGCCATTAATACTGACAGGGCGAAGATGTATGCTCTCTAAGCATGTCTCGCCTCCAACATCTGGTAGATGATGATAATGTATGCATCAACCGGTTTTAGAATATCATTCCCCAGGATAAACTGGTGGAATCCCAACATCTGAGCAAACAAAACGAGTCGTTGATTGGGTGTATGACTAACTGCTGAAGTAGTAGCTAAACGCATCGAAACAACAGGGCTAGAAAGAGTGGTATACCTAGCTTACAAAGAGCTAGAAAAGGTATGGGCCAGCATACTCCGGTCTCTCTGCCTATGTAACGAGCGGCCCAAGGCCTGCGTACAAAGCCCCCTGCATTATTGATCGCCATTTTGAGTGACTAAGTATGTCCTGAGTACAAAATTTTGCTATTGTACTCGCACTGGGGACGGAAGAGGCTGATGGTGACAGTGCTTCCGTCATACGCGGGATCCAACTGGCTTTTGGGGTTATCCAGGTCGGCAACATTCGTATAATCCATTGGTGCCAATATATGTCAAGTTTTTTCCACCTCAGCTTTTTAACGAAGGCCAGCTCCATGTGGAAAAGATTGGTAAAAATGAACCCGTGTGTTGATGAGCATGTGCATATAGAATCTCAGGGCAATATTGTAACTCGGCTGCATGCATTGCCAACAGCAACGCATCACGGCACCGAGTCGGTAACTGTGTTTAGTCACGATTGAGGGCGCAGAGTAATTTCCCAGAAACGCTGTCAGCTTAGCAAGGAGTAATCAGTAGTTCGCGCAGGCAGCAGCTCCGCCTTGCAGCGAAGTCTCCGCATTCCTATAAAAATTTTCTTGTCTTTGTCATCGCCGCTATGATCATGACGATGCTGATGATGCTGATGTTATTATTTTGTTGTTGAAAGTAGAGAAAAAAGCTCACGTCGTCAGAAGGTTCGTCCCGGCTTATGTAACTTTGGATGCCAGCCAACTACAAGCTGATAAAATATACCCTTTTTTCATTGGTTGATGAAGTGATTAATTGGTTATTTTATGCAGCCACATAATTTTGCCCGCATGTGAATATTTCTATGCTTCGTCTGCAGCGAAAGAAAAAGGTATTGTACATAGTTATCAATCTTCGGAGTGGAATGAGACAGGCAGGTAGTTACCTATTACAAGCTCTTTAGGCATCACCCTATGTACAGTTGATTTCTCACTTTTTATGGAAGAAAAGGCGCAACCCTTTATTAATTGTTTACGCTCAGAACCACGCCAGCTTCCTTCATGCATCTGCATCCGAGAGTTACGGAATGCTTTGGAAGTATAACGCTTGCATAGCGTGGGGAACAAGTAGAATGTCGATCGAGCATGCGGGATCTATGATACTCTTGCTTATTCTAGTTTCCCTGGCTTCACTGGCGACAGATTCGAGGCGAGGGAACGCAGACATAGGGCCCAAATATCTGTTGATTCAGGTATAGAATGAACAAGAGTTCTGGGCATTCAGCTTACGATCACAAGTAGATCTGACTCCAAACGTTGCTACTCGTTGAAGTGGACATCAGGTGTCTTGTCTCTCGTCGTTTTTCCCGATATTGATAGCTCTTTAGGTGGGTATCGAGTGTTGCTTGCTTGATGCCGAGCATAGGAGCCGAATGGGTACACAATGTCAAGGGTGTTGATTCACAGTCGTGTCAAGGTAGGCATTCTCCCTGAATGTATTCTCTCCTTAGTTTTGGCTTTTGATCAGTCTAGTCAGTTAGCTGGGGTTGCAGGTGATACCAGTCAGGTATCCAACCGCCACACCGACACAACAATGCCGTCGACGCCGGTAATGGCACACATTATACCCGACGTGGATGCTTTATGATGTCTAGCAAGACACAGCCGAAATTCGGGTAAGGGGTTAATTACACCCCGAAAATGACCGAGATGGCCAGAATATGTCCCTTGACGCTGGTAAACAAAGCAACCCACTATCCACATGATCTTAAAGACAATACTACCTACATCCAGTTGACTCATTTCTACCTGCAGGAATAGTTACCATGCCCGAATTCCGAACTGTAGGTAACGAAAAGGCTAGAGGACGAAGGAGAACGCTTGTAACTCCATGGAGAGTAGTTAAATGTCCAACTTTGCTTAAATAGCTCGCTGAGAAGGTGACAGCAGTTAACTAGGAAAGCAAAGCACGGGGCGAGGACGGCACCAACGGCTGGGCTAACTAGTTAGTCAACTAGTTATTTAGCGAGAGGATTCTTTTTGGTGTGCGTGACTAGTAACTAGGCCCACAGAGGCGATCCACAACCAGCCAAGTCAACAGCCTGGGGAGGTGCTGCTGGCATGCCGAACAGATAGCCACTGTCAAGCTGGGGTTGCATCCTTTCAGACTGGAATGTCTAACTAGGGAGCTGAGCCGCAAAGGTGAGTGATATGGACCCATAACTAGTTAAGTAACTAGTTAGTTAATTTCGCCCTGATGTGCATCCTTGGGCCGCGGAAGAGCTCAATCCTCGGCCTTTCAAGGGGCTAACTAGTTATTTATCCAGGCTGACCAGCTCATCCAGCCGTCACACGGGCGCCGTCAGAATACAGTAGGAGAAGGCACAGCTGCTCTCCACCGTTGCATGGGTAGCATGATCGCGCAGGAAACATGGCATATAGAAGTCCACGGTCACCAACAGATGGGGAAGCCTTTGTTGATACTCCATATAGTGCATGCAGTGCAACGGCACCTTGCTGCAAGTGAGGCCCAAATCTTAGGGCCGCCAGGATCTGTTCCTGGTCGATGATCGTCCCGGTGACTTCGCTACGGCGATGTCTTTGCTTCTCTGATGTCTTTGCTGGTGTACCTTTTTGTGGTGTTTGGCGGGCGGGCTGTCCGTGGAGGCAGCCCCCAAGAGGTCAGCCGAAGTGTAAGATACCAGGGTTGAAGAGAACATTGTGACCTGTATCGGCCAGCCTAGCTCTCAAAACCCGTCTGCTGCTCTTCCGCGTCTTCTTTGCTTTTGTCGTGTTTAGTTAACTAACTCGGGAGTGAAAGAAGCAGCAACACCGCCGAGTCGACGACAGATCTCGAGCAGGTCTGCAGCGTCGTGCAGAGATCGCAACCGTAGCCATGTATGTAACTATGTGCGCGCATATATATATATACACACAGTTCCCGCCGTTGGCTCGACTGTCTAGTCCTCGCTGCTTTCCAATAGCTTGTAATGTTTGATTGATGCTGTCGTACATGAATAAACAACAACCAAGACCTTTTGATATTAACTAATAGCCGGGGATGCGGTTCGACACAGAGCACGCGAGATATGTCCATCCGCGGCAGACTCCCTATCCATCCAGCCGCTCCATCAGCAGCACCATCATCTCCATGTTTTCAAGCCGGCGCCAGGCCAGAATAGCGCTCGCCCTGCTTGTGCTGGGGGCCGTCCTGGCTGCAGTCTTCTCGGGGGCCTCATATTCTTCGTCCTCGGCTTCTTCTGCCCCTGCTTCGGCTGTGTCTTCATCATGGCTGCGACGTCTGCGCCGGTCTGTCCTCTCTGAAGGCTCGCTGACGGCCGTCCTGCCGACATGGGCACATCTGACGGCCTCCTTTCTGCTTGCTCGACAGGCCCCCATTGTCGTCCTGCGACAGGGAACCGTCATGGGCACGATTCGTGACGATAGTGATTTCCCGCAGCCGCTGGAGGCCTTCCTGGGCGTCCCCTATGCTCTCCCGCCGACGGGTCAGAGGCGCTTTGCCAGGCCTGAGCCGGTCGGGAAGTCTTCGCGGAAAATAGATGCCTCTCAATATGGTCCTAGGTACTGTTTTTGTTCATCCTATTGTTGCTGCTGTTCACTCCGGGTTGACCGCTTGATAGGTGCGTTGCTGGCTCCCTCGACGGGGATGACTGGGGGGAAGACTGCCTGAGCGCAAACATATTCCGTCCCATGGAGACCAAAGCAGGACAGAAGCTGCCGGTACTCGTCTATTTCCATGGAGGAGCCTTTAATTTGGGGGCCGGTATGCTCTTTTACCTTATGCCTTCTGTATCAATGCATGGCTTTACAAGCGTTGACCCCTTAGCTGCCAGGCCGATTCCACAATACCGCTGCTCTTCTGGCTTGGTCAGAGAAGCCGTTCATTGCTCTTAACTTCAACTATCGGTACGACCTTATGTCCTCTCTTGCCTCGAACTGATAGACTAATATTTTTATACATGCAGTCTCGGTGCCTTTGGCTTCCTGTCCGGGGTATTCATGACGGACACCAACCTGCTCAACGTTGGCTTACACGACCAACTCATGCTCCTCAAATGGATCCAGGAAAACATCGAGCAGTTCGGTGGTGACCCAAACCAGGTCACCATCATGGGCCTTTCGGCTGGTGCTCACTCGGTAAGACTCATCGATCTACGCCCGTGTGATTATTATAACTATGACGAACACAGCAGAGGGTCAGCTAACATTCGCTCCCTAGATCGGCCACCAGGTGATGTATACAAAATATAGCAGACGTCCACTTTTCCATAGAGCATTACTGGAATCTGGAGCGACCACTGCTCGTGCTGTCTACCCTTCTGATGCTCCTCTGCCTTCAGTGCAATTCGACGAGTTTGTCCTTGCTTCCGGCTGCTCCAACATTGACAGGGATGAAATAATCTCCTGCCTCCGTGAAAAGCCCGTCAGGTCTATTGGACAGGCCTCGATTGACATATTTAACCGTTACAACCCTTCTGATCGATGGGCCTTCCAACCGGTGATTGACGGTAAGATCATCCGGGTACCGCCCATACTCGCCTGGGAGTCTGGTATCTGGAACAAGGTCCCTATCCTTGCTGGCTTCAACACTGATGAGGGATCTCCTTTTGCGCCTAGCCGCCTCGACTCTTCGGAGGACTTCACCGAATTCTTCAAGGAATTGATACCCGCTCTGTCTGAGTCGGATTTGGAAGAACTCAACAATTTATACCCTGATCCAGCCGTTCATGCCGAATCGCCGTACCTCGACACTCGCCCCATAGATGTTGGCTCTCAGTACAAGCGTGCAACGGCAGCATATGGCCAGTACGCATACATATGTCCCATCCAACAGACCGCGTACCACGCCTCGGCAGGCCAACCTGCTCCCGTCTTCCTCTACCACTGGGCCGTAAACACGACCGTTAAAGGCGGTGCAAGCCACGGAGATCAATCTGCGTACGAACTGTACAACCCCGGTATTCGAAAGGTATCCCAAACCCAAGACTTGCTTGCGGGATATTTACATGCCTACTTTACTTCCTTCGTCACCACTGGAGACCCCAACGGCATAAAGGGCAGATACGCTGACAGACCCAAATGGGCTCCCTTTACGCCGACGGCAAAGAGTAGCACCATGGTGATGGGAGAAGGGAACGATGAGCGTGCTGGTGGGGACAGTATCGGTATCGTAGCCCGGATGGGTAATATCAGCTATACCAAGGAGGAATGTGACTTTTGGTGGAAGAGGACCATCTTATCAGAGTCGTGATCGCTCACTCACATGCATATACAGTCTTGCTTGCATTCTTTTCTAAGGCGTATTGAAAGGTGACGGGTATCATCATTTATTTTTTGCTTGTTACATTGTGGATTTATTGTCTCATTGATAGAGACTCGGAATAGTGTGGCACTATCTTAAATATGGCCCGTTGGAATTAAGATATAGTTGCATGGACATATATACTCAGCCTATCTACATGGTCAAGCCCAGCTTGTGCAGTTGATTTTATCAGTAGCCTGTACCACCAGATATATCCTTTCCAAGCCTATATGCGCCGATCTTCTCCCACTCAACCTTCTGTCGTGTAATGGGGAGCTGTCGGCGTAGGCCCTTGAATGCACCCTCAGACAACCGGTTGAACGCATCGTTCAGCTCTTCCTGATGCTCTCTCTCAGCGGCTACGATACGCTTGAAAGCAGCATCTGCTGGAGAGGCCGAGGGTATTGATATAGATACCGGCTTCTGGTTGTTGAGAGAAACGTTTCCGTCTTCATAGTAGTGTACATCGACATGGATATTACCGGTGATTGTACCGGCAGAGGTCGCCGGCACATTGTATATGGCGCGGTATCTTCCGTTCCTGTATCACAATAAGTAGCTAGACCAGTCTTGCTGAGAGGACGCTTTCCGTACCAGAAGTTGTTTGGAGAGTATTTGTTCGCTACCAGGAGGATGGCGATGGAGGAGTCGTCCTGGGAAGGGTAGACGCCGTATGAGCTGTTCGGGTAATGTTCACGGGCATGCGACGAGATGAGTTTGAGGTAAGATTTTCTGCATCAATCGATTAGCGTTGGTTCCCGGCACACAAGGTAGTGGTTGTTCACTAACATGAGGTCTGCGTTCTGAGATTCAAGAACGTATGACCGGGGGTTGGAAGCTGTCTAAATGGCCCTAATATCAGGATTATGAAGGTCCCAGGGATGTATGAAAGCGTGAGACGGGGCGCACCTGTGAAACATGGTCAAAATCGAAGGATGTCTGGCTTTCAACGTCGAAATATCGTCCGTCTTCGAGCTTGTTATAGGCACTAACGATGACCTATTCCCAAAATCAGCTTCTCGGCATACTCCCGCTCCGATATATAATCTCAAATATACCTCTCGACTACTTCCGGCCAGTTTTACCGTGGCAAGCTGTGCCTCGTTGTACTTCCTGAATGCCGGCTCGAGGGAAGGGATAAGGTTGGAGCCGGAGGTCAACGCCTTGATATCTGTTGTCAACACGCTGTCTGTTAGAATCTTGTGCAGTAAGAGCTAATCCAGGCACCTGTAGACTCACCGGCAACAACATCTCTAAGCTGAACGGGAATGTTAGCTGGCGGCCTTGCTGTCTTGCCATGGTGATGCCTTGCGTACCTCGCCTGGCGGGGCTCCCTCTATAAACGAGGAAGCGATTTCAGCTTGGGAAGGCATGTCAGATAAAGGCTAGTGGTAGAGATCGTTATGATAGAACAGACGAAAAAGAAAATGCCAGCTAGAAGACAGGAAAAGAAGCCAGTCTATAGAATTAATTGCTGCTACTGAAGTTGATGCGCTGCTTCGGCGGCTTGCTGGATGTTGTTTTATTTTGGTGAAGCCCGCGCCAAGCCAGCTTAGTCAAGCCGCGATAAGATTGATTTGATAGTGAGATGCTAGCATAGACGATTAAGGGGGATATATATCGAGTATATACAGAAGTAAAAACGCCGCTGATGGACAGAGATGCCTCGCTAAATGGTATAGATGTGTAGGGGTGCTGCAGAAGGTGTTGATAAAGATAGGGCATAGAAGGAAGAATGGTAATGAATGGCAGTGAATGGCAGACGATCAGTCGATGGTCATCTTCATGAAGCCGTCGCTGGTCTCGGTCATGCCCTGGAGGCCGACTCGCTTGACGGGCCCAGAGACTGAGCTAGTGTTGGAGGTGGGCTCAGTAGCATGGCTCCCCTGGAACAGGATGGCCTTGGATAGATGACCGACCCGGCTGGTCTCTGTACCGGCAGAAACATGGCCTTGAACGGGGCTACTGTGCACGCTGGGCCCGGGAGAAACAGCCCGACGCTTGAAAGAGGCCAGATCGAAGTCGTCACCCCGTCGTCGTTTGTTCAACTTGGCAAAAACTTCTGGTTCTGGGTCAATATCCTTGGGCTGCCGGCCCAGGACTCCCGTCTCCATGCCTGGGGATACCATGGTCGGGTCCCCCGCTGAGAGCGGCGGTGGAGTCTTGTATCGTCCATCAAATGAGTTCCAGAAGTCGATACCGCCAGAGTTGCGGGATACCTGTCGGCTGAAGCTGGTGGGCGGCCTCGGTTGTGCTTCCTCAGGGGCAGTGCGTGGGGAAGTGGAATCCTTGATCTCCAACGCGCTGGGCAATATAGATTGAGGTTGTGGAGCGACAGATGCATCATTTTCTCGCACCTGGCGAACAACTTCTGCCTCTTTCTTGGTGTCACTCTCCACAGGCGCGCATTCTTCGAACAGCGTCGCCCTTATACGGGCGAAGTTCTTAGGTTTTGGCTGCGACCATAATTAGAATTAACATGCGATTATAGGGGTGGGAAAACTAAGAATAACACAACCGAGAGACGTACCAGAAGATTCCCTCGTCTGGTTACAGGCCGTCGAATGACGCCTCGGCGACCGGACTCGGAATTGGAGCCTCCCGCAAGTGAGCCGCTGGACGGGCTGCTAACTCCAGCCTGTTTCCCGCTGTCCGCATCATCGCTCCCGTCAGAAAGGTGAAAGTCGGAGGGAATGTGGGCTAGCTCATCTAACTTTGACCTGATATCCCGTGAAGCTAGGCTCTGTGACAGGTAACTGGCCCCAGTGCTGTCAAAGGCTTTCTCTGCTGGCGGGGACCGCGAAGTAGCCAGCAGTCTAGGGCTGGCACCGCTTGCGCTGGACGAGCTGTGTCTCTTCCTGCCGTTGCGATACCTCGCCCGCTGGAAGTTCATCAGGCTTGCCTTTGCAGCGGAGAACCCGGACATCCAGTCTGCGCCGGGTGCTGGTATCAGATTGGGAGAAAACGGAGCCGAAAGTCCAAGCCCCGGCTTCTTTGCCTGCGGAGTGGTTCCAATGGGGTCTCCGCGGTCAAAGCCATGGATAGACCCGTCTTCGTCCTCTTCATCAGTATTTGACGAGTCTGAGTCCATCATGTTGACGCTGCCCACAGAGCTGGAAATAGCAGCCTTCTCGGCGTGGCTGCCAGAGGGAGTAACGCAATGGTGTAGCTGGTGATGCGAGTTGCCGGGAGACCCAGCCACGCCCATGCCCGTGCTCCCCGCGGTCCCACGTCGTTGCGGTATAGCAATCCCCCTGCCACCCACGACGGGAGACGAGTCTGGAGACGACTCTGCCAGCGTAGAGTGGTGTAAGTTGGTGCAAGCGCGCGAAAAGTCCAGTCCTCGAGATCGCCGCGGCAGGACAGACGCCGGCGACCCGAACGAGTGAGACGAGTCCAGCTTCGGGGACAGCGGTATTCGGGCCGCTGCATGGCTGTTCTTGGGGCTAAATGGCTGTGGCATGTTCAGCGAGAGCCCCGAGTGCGGTCGACTGGCTCGCTGCGGCGTCTCGGGCGACGGTTTCGGTGCATCCTCCCTGCTCCTGACGGCGTCTCTGAAGCCCAGGGGAATCGACTCGCGCGGAGGAGGCTGCGGCGCACCCCCTGCACCCTCCATCCCGGATTTCTCTGCCATGTATCGAGCACCGCTGTTTCGTGGTGTAGATGAGTAGGTGGACGTTTGCAGATTGGTGGTGGTGGTGGTGGTGGTGGTGACGATGGGTGTATTTGCCCAGTGGGCGATGTTGCAGTTGCGGTAACTAGAAGAACGCCGCTACATTGCAGCTGGTGCCGCTCGTCGCCCCGTCCCGCGCGCTCCCTCTGTGCTTCCACGTCCTCTTTTTATCTTCTTGTTTCCTTTTCCCCCTTGTCCTTCTCCGCGTCTTCGCTCCTCGTCTTTTCTTCTCTCGTCTTTTCGCTGCTTTTCTTCGTCGTTTTTTCCTTTTGCGCCGTCGAAGCTGGCTTATGTAACTAATCTAATATGACATCAGCTCACGTGATATTAATAGTTTGTCTCAATAACTTCAACTTTTGGCCCGATTGGGAAATATCAACGATCACAACGAAGAAGAATCGAAAACATCGACGTTTTTTGCTTCTTTTTTCTCCTGCTTCTGCGTTTTTGTCGACGTCGCGCGCGCCTTCGCTGGCGTTGCTGAAGGCAGATCGAGACGCGGATCCGGGCGAGATTGAGCTATCTTTTTTGTTTTTTTCTCTCTTTTACTTCTCGGCCCTTAAGCCTTCAAGGTACGTCGCCGACTCGGATTGACTAAGGAGACGGGAGCTCGCGCGCAGCACGTCACAGGACCGGTGGAGGAGTAAAGTGAGAGAAGAGTGAGCCGATAGGGTGAGATTATAAGTGCTTCGCCTTGTTCCCTGGAGATCCTACTTTTCTGTGAAGGCGGTTTTTGCTAACCAGAGTCTGCTTCAAGATGCAAATCGAAGCTCCAGGTGAGACGGCAGAGGATACAAATACCACTACTACAGAGACCGAGAGTGCCTCCTGGAGCTCTGCCAGTCGCGCGAACAGCCCCTTGTCAGATCCCATCCTACGCATTAAGGTCCCTCCGGGCTTCTGGAATAGATACGATCAATTCATGATGGCCGAGCAGGCGCCTGATGAGCCACCGACGAAGCGCCAGAAGTTCACCCCCATACCGGAGCCGGAGCCCATAGCATCGGCTGACGAAATAGCAGTGGCGGCGGCGGCGGCGGCGGCAGCAGCAGCACAAGGACCACACAGGCATACTCCAGGTTCTCAACCGCAACCGCAACCGCAACCGCAGCAGGAACCTCCAGAGCAGCCTGCACCTAGGCCTGTAATCATGGATATTGAGAGCGATAACAAAGAAGGAATCCTGCCTAGTGACATCTCTTCGCTATCAGATTCTTCGTTGGCTTCAGGAGGCGATACCGATATTCCATATTCCATGGCCCCTCGCGCGACGGCGCAGACTCCCCTGCCTGCTACTACCAGCACACCTAATGGCTCGCAAAATATAGCGCCTCCGCCATCTGCGGAAAAGGCAGGTGTTAGGGTGAAAACACCCTCTACCCCTGCTCCAGGTATGTCTCACTGCTGCGCCCTTTTACACCCATGTATAATTGTACATAAGTGCTTGCTAATTCACGAATAGAATCGAGACCCAGCGTTATGGTCACTGTTGTTGGCTGTGGAGCTGGAAATTTTCCTGTCTTGCACGTTACGCCCAACTCACAGCTTGCTGCTAGCCTGCGCGATGTCCCCTGCACGCGGCCCCTTACCTGGCGCAACGGCACGCCAAGGGAGCTCCGGAACCAGTGGACGCGAGACGCAGCTATTTATTTCTCCAGGGGGGAACTTGCTCCTGAACCCTGCACTTCATGCGTCCGTGGGAGGGGCCCATTTGAACAGTGCGTCCGTCCTCCAAACCCGACCGGCCAGCCGCCTCTAAGAGGCGCTTGCGCGAGTTGTATCTGGACGGGCAATCCCAGGACCTGTTCTTTCCGTACGTCTATTCCATCTCTCTGAGGTATAACCGCCCCCGAGTCCTTTTGCAACTGACATGTATCCCTCAGATCCTGATCATCTTCTACACGGCCATTCCCACTCAACGCCTTCTAAACTCGCGGATAAGAAGACCTCGCTCGTTCCACGAACCCCTCGCACACCCAATGCGTCATCCTCGTCCGCTACCCTTTCAAAGATCACCACTTCTCTTCCCAGGTCTTCTCGCGAACCTTCTTTCAACCCCCATCGCAACACCATCAATACCAACTCCAGTCGCAATATCAGCAGCAACATAAATAACAACGCTAACCACAACATCAACCCCGGTCCCGGTCTCAATTCCAACCATAACCATAACCAAAACCAGAGCCACAGCCATAGCGTCAACCACATGAACAGCCCCCATCCTAACGCCAGCCCCGTCACCTATCATCATGGAATGCAATCCAAGAATGTTCTTCCGGTTTCCCCGGCGCAAACCAATCCATCATCTGTTGCGCCTTCTCCTCCTAACCCACTGGGCAATCAACCTCTCGCTCCGCCTCATACCCAACCCCAACCTCATCGTACCAACCCGTTTCCGCATCACTGCTACTTCAATATCCCCGAAAAGCTTAATGGCGGCAATTTGACCGAGGTTCGCAAAGCCATCCACGAAATGGACGCAGTGCAAGCTAAGCTTAGGGAACGAGCTGCTTTTTTAGAGCAGCTAGGCGATAACTGGCAGTGAAGCTGGTCGCGTCCAGGAAATGCCCAAACAGCTACGCTTCCCCGACAAAGGGGCTTTTGTTTCCTTATCTCGTTCTCATTTACTCCCAGGCTACACAGTCTCAGCATCTTTTACCGGAATATCTTTTATTATCTGTTACTTATTTCAATCCGCATTGAGATACCGTGTGGAATCCCATATACCACGGCCGGTATCAGCGCAGGCGATGGTTCGTCTTTGCGTTCAAAATTTCTTACTTATGGAATACCCTTTTTACCTTATTTAATACCATCTTCACACGCTAATATTTACGAAACTAATATACATATTGAATTATATCACTTACTTGATAGGCAGTGCCAGAGTGGAAGTAAATAGGCTACACTGTTATGAATATATATGCATTGTGTAGACACCAATGTGCCGTGTAGTATAAATGGATAAGGATAATCAGTACAATGTCCAGAAACGCCTCGCATAGCCCCCCCCCCCCCCCCCCCCCCCCCATGTATGTTTTTAAAAAAAATAATTAAAAAATGGCTACCTATTTTAACTGCTTTTAGACCGTCATTGCGAGAGATATGTAGAGCACTCGTACACTCGTGAGTGAAACGCCTGCTCCTCGTCACCGACTCGCTGGAAGCCGTGCATCGTCCCCTGGTCGTCGGGATGGTAAGGGATATCACAATCCGCGGACCACAGAGAAGGGTAATAGCAGCGATATACTAAGTACGCCGTCCCTATACCTATAATTGATCCACTGCTCACATCATACACGTCGTGGCGGTAGTCAGCGATACGGGAAATAGCAATCATGAGTGCTCCGAGCAGTGGAGATAGAGAGACAAGAAGACGAGCAAGGCCAGATCGTGGGCGCCAGGCCCGGAGCTGGCCACTAAGGAAGCTTTCAAGACATTAGAATAATCATACTCATAGACCAGCCAGTAGAGAATGCTTACAAGGAAAGGTAGCCCAGGCCCGAGAACCCGAAGCTACTATGTCCACTGGGGAAACTCCGCCACCCTTCATTCAAAATATGTTGATCTGTTGTTGTACATACAGTATAGTCGACTAGTGTATGTTCTGGCGTTCCCTTATCTGGTTTGCACCGTGATATCAGGTCCGGCCGTGGCCTGCCAACGGCGTTCTTGATTAAATCGGTTATAAAGATGGTCACCAGCAGCGAAGCGAGGAGACCTAGAAGAGTGACATGGACAAAGTGGCTTCCTGGTCGAAAGAGAGCACACCAGAAACCGATTGCGAGGAGAGGGAATATACCGGAGTATATGATGGACCATACTAGTGAAAAGATATTGTTAGACTGTGATATGCTCTACTTGGTGGCTGTGCAAGGTGTCTTACGGACTGGTACCCGTTCGACGACGGCAAAGGGGTATTGAATGGAGGTATTATCCAGGCTGAATAGCTGGTAGAATGGATGAACGAAGAGTTGTAGCTGGATGGGCCCGTCAGAAGCTGCTTAGTATCAAAGGAGTTGCGTCCGTAGAAACGTACCATCACCCACGCAAGAACGAGGAATATAAGAATGGAATAGTCCGCGCCATACGATCGACGCCAGAACCTTATCAGAGCCCCCATACAGCCTGGCTGCTGAGCAAGCTCAGAAGCCTATCGTCCGTGCATCTTCGTCTCTCATCTGCGGGCAAATTCAGGGAAGAGCTGCTCCTCTGTTACATTCCAAATATAACTTTGCCGGGAGGTAGCCACAGGTTTCGAGTAGCTGTCTGCTCTGCCACAAAGGTCTGC